CCAGATTACAGTTATATGATCATTCTCCTTAAAAAACCCATCTCTATCTTAGTGAGTGAGTGATTAAATGTTGAATGTGATGAGTTTTCAACAATACTACATTGAAACTTTATTTTTTTATATGGTTTAATAGTTTTTTGTTATTAAAATTGAAAAATTGAAGTTCCTGTTTCAAAGCTTACAGATAGATTGCTGATTTGTATGTCATTGATATGTTCAGTGCTGAGGTAAATAAACACTTTTGGCTTTTTTCGAGTCTTTTCATTAGTTTTGTTTTTTTTATTCAATAAATACCGTACCGTGCCATTCATACCAAGGTATTACCGTACCGTGAAATTCTGATACCGTTACATCCCTAATATATATATATATATATATATATATATATATATATATGTATATGTATATATATGTATGTATATAATGTTTTAGAGCAACCCATGTTCTGTAGTCAATAATATTTAACTTTATTAGGTCAAACTGTCCCAGATATGAACAACAGCAAGTAATGCATCAAATGTTGATTGAAAAACCTTGAATGTTTATAACAAATCTTTATAATCATTATAATAAATGATAAAAAATAATAAAAAATTATTAGTGTAAAAATCTTGCTACTTCTCTGTTTATCTGTCTGACTTTACGGTGGCTTTCTTTTCACCGCCCCTGTCATTCTAAAGAGCCTCGTCTGGTTGAGGTGCGCTCACAGTAAGCGGAGGTGCTCGATGCAGAGCCAGGCGAAAGTAATAATCAGCCTTGAGATGCTTGTTTATTTGTTTCCTGTGGTTCAATGATGCATATAACCCATCTTCAGTGCTGTTCAGTCTGAATACATTTATTTTGTCACTAATTTTGTGATTTAGCATTTCCTCTGTATGTGTTTGCGTGTTTTTGATAGTGATATAGGTGTTCAATTTAATACTTAATGCTCTTAAAAATGTCTTCAAATCTCTTAAATTTGACATGATGATATCTGCAGAAACCCTGAATAATGCACATTATCTTCATTTCTGCACATCTTGGCTTTAGAATGAAGCTTTTTTAATGCGAAATTCCAGAATGCAGATAAGATAGGTGGATGGAAAGGCAGTGCCATTTCTCCAGAAAGCGTCAGGAGTCTGTTTCTTCATAATAATCTCATCAGCGGAGGGAAGTCATGCATCCAGATGTGGCGATGAGCGTGTGCCAGGTCAGCGTGTGTGGTACATCTGGATCTCATTGAGAGCAGCTCTCTTCATTTCTCAGTGTTATTAAATACTGCAACAAATGAAAACTGTTATCTCTTAAAGCACTGAAGGCTTGAGTCCACCGCCCCGAGCCCCTCTCTCAGCCCGGACCACCCCTCTCTCCTGCAGCCGCAGCCAGAACTGCTGGAGTCCTGTTTCACTGGCGTTTCTGTTGGCCGCTGTTGATCTGTTACTGCGCTAATGCCAGCGCCGGGCTAATCAAAACACAGCCGCCGGGCCGCTTTAGGGCTCAGTGTGTGGCGCTGTTGGTTAAAACTGTTAGTGTTGTTAAGAAATACTGTAATGCTGTCATACATAACATACTAGTTAAGAAATGCCACAAAACAAGTTACACTAGATAACACCCTAGCAACTGCATAGCAACAAGCTAAAACTCATCTACCATAGAAACTGAATAGCAGCTTGTTAAAACCCATTCAGATTACCATGGCAACCACTTAGCAATTTGTTTACACCCCATTTAAATAACCATGACAACCCCTTAGCAACATGCTAAAACTTACTCAGGAAACCATGGCAACCGCATAGCAACATGTTAAAACTTACTCAGGAAACCATGGCAACCACATAGCAACATGTTAAAACTTACTCAGGAAACCATGGCAACCACATAGCAACATGTTACAGCTTACTAAGGAAACCATGGCAACCCCATAGCAACATGTTAAAACTTACTCAGGAAACCATGGCAACCGCATAGCAACATGTTAAAACTTACTCAGGAAACCATGGCAACCACATAGCAACATGTTAAAACTTACTCAGGAAACCATGGCAACCACATAGCAACATGTTACAGCTTACTAAGGAAACCATGGCAACCCCATAGCAACATGTTAAAACTTACTCAGGAAACCATGGCAACCGCATGGCAACATGTTAAAACTTACTCAGGAAACCATGGCAACCGCATGGCAACATGTTAAAACTTTCTCAGGAAACCATGGCAACCGCAAAGTAACGTGTTACAACTTACTCAGGAAACCATGGCAACCGCATGGCAACATGTTAAAACTTTCTCAGGAAACCATGGCAACCGCATAGTAACGTGTTACAACTTACTCAGGAAACCATGGCAACCGCATAGCAACATGTTAAAACTTATTCAGGAAACCATGGCAACCGCATAGTAACGTGTTACAACTTACTCAGGAAACCATGGCAACCACATAACAACGTTCTAAATCCCCTTTCAGAAAACCATAGCAACTCCCTAGCAACCACCCACAACACCAGCATTATGATGTTGCTTGTCCTTCGTGAGAGTGTAAAGCAGCTGTCTGTATTTGTGTTGTTGTTTGTGTGTGTGTGTGTGTGTGTGTGTGTGTGTGTGTGTTTGTGTGTTTGTGAGTGTTGTTGTGTGTCAGTCAGTGGTGTGTGTTGGTGACATCATTAGTAATGAGTGTGTGTGTGTGTGTGTTTCTCCCCCAGCTGAAGCTCAGGGCCGGCGCAGAGAGCTGCTGCACAGTGAGGTGAGTGTGAGACGCAGTGTTCTCGAGTGTGTGTGTTTATTCTGGAGTCACTCCACTCGTCTCTCTGACACACAGCGTTATGAGCTCATGAATCGCTGTCACATGACGCCGCTCTCTCAGGGCTCACACACACTTTATTTCTGCACAGAAAACACATTCCAGTCTCACACGGCCTGCAGAGTCTCGGCCTCTTAAAGGAACACTGCACTCACTGTAGGACACAGCTCTCCATCTGTTATACAGTAGAGTTTACCATTTCACAATCCATTCAGGCGTCACGGTGACGCAGTGGTGTTGCATGATCGCTGCAACACCAAGGTCGCTGGTTCGAGTCCTGGCTGGGTCAGCTGGCGTTTCTGAGTTTGCATGTTCTCCCCGTGTTTGGGATGTTTACCAGTGCTGGGTTGCAGCTGCAAGGGCTTCCACTGCGTAAAACATATGCTGGATAAGTTGGTGGTTCATTCCGCTGTGGTGACCCCAGATTAATAAAGGGACTGAGTTGAAAAGAAAATAAATGACTGAATGAATCCATTCAGCTGATCTCTGAGTCTGGCGGGAGCACTATTAGCTTAGCTTAGCATAGATCATTGAATCAGATTAGACCATTAGCATTACCATTGACTTCCATTATAGTCACATTTATTGAGTGTAAAGTCATGACAGCATATAATCACAGCAAGAAGGTCGCTGGTTCGAGTCCCAGCTGGGTCAGTTGGTGTTTCCGTGTGGAGTTTGCATGTTCTCCCCGTGTTGGTGTGGGTTTTCTCCGGGTGCTCCGGTTTCCCCCACAGTCCAAACACATGCGCTATAGGGGAACTGATCAACTAAATTGGCCGTAGTGTGTGAATGAGTGTTTATGGGTGTGTTCCAATACTGGGTTGCAGCTGGAAGGGCTTCCACTGTGTAAAACATACGCTGGAATAGTTGGCGGTTCATTCCACTGTGGCGACCCCTGAAATAGAGACTAAGCTGAAGAAAATTGAATGAATGACAATGAAAATGGCTGACGCCCTGATCAGTGCACTAACTAGTGACCAAGTGTGCTGATTGAGACGCATCCTGTCACAGCTGTCATTAATAGTGTGTCAGACTGAATCTGCTTCTGCTGTTTCTCCTGCAGATCAAGAGTCTGATGAGTCGAGCTGAATACCTGAAGGAGCTGATCAAGGTAAAGTGTGTGTTCAGTGTCCGCAGTGAACGCAGATCTCCTGAAGCTCAGGTGTGTGTGTGTGTGTGTGTGTGTGTGTGTGTGTGTGTGTGTGTGTGTGTGTGTGTGTGTGTGTGTGTGTGTGTGTGTGTGTGTGTGTGTGTGTGTGTGTGTGTGTGTGTGTGTGTGTGTGTTTGCAGATGCGTGAAACTCAGACGGATGAATCTCTGAAGAAAGACGCCGCTGCTGAGTCTGTCAGATCCTGTACGTATAGATCACATTCACACCATAATACTGCATCTGCTGATTTATTTCAATAGGAAATCTCGTTTAGGGAGGAAAACTGCTCATGGAAACCAGTCCACGGAGTTATTAACCTTAACAAATATATGTTTTTTAGTGCTGTCAAACAATTAATCACAATTAATAGTTAATTAATAATATATATATACATACAGTTGAAGTCAGAATTATTAGCACCCCTGAATTATTAGCCCATCTGTTTATTTTTCCTCAATATCTGTGTAACGGAGAGCAGATTTTCTCAACACATTTTTAATCATAATAGTGTTAATAACTCGTCTCTAATAACTTAATACCTACTAAATTTACTAATAACTAAAATATTTTCTCTTTGTCATGATGATAGTAAATAATATTAGACTAGATATTCTTCAAGACACTTCTATACAGCTTAAAGTGACATGTAAAGGCTTCACTAGGGTAATCAGGGTAACTAGGCAGGTTAGGGTAATTAGGCAGGTTATTGTATAATGATGGTTTGTTCTGGAGACTATAAAGGGGCTAATAATATTGACCTTAAAATGTTTCATAAAAAATTGAAAACTGCTTTTATTCTAGCCGAAATAAAGCAAATAAGACTTCCTCCAGAAGAACAAATATTATCAGACATACTGTGAATCCTTGCTCTGTTAAACATCATTTGCTAATTATAAAAAAGTGGGGGAGGCCAATAATTCTGACTTACTTTAACTATATATATATATATATATATATATATATATATATATATCCTATTATTTTATATTTTAAGTATGTATAATTTGCATGAGAAATGAAGAAGTTTTTCAAATAAATATTACATATATATTGTGTAAATACATGCCATTAATTGCAATTAATCATTTAACAGTCCAGTTTTAAGCATCAAATAAATTAATGTAAAATAGCAACATTAAATAGTATTATTTAAATATAAATGACTAAAACATTTATAAATAAAACCAATAATCCCTAAATAAACCATTTTAAAGCTATAAAAATACATTTTGCATATATATATATATATATATATATATATATATATATATATATATATATATAGACACACACACACACACACACACACACACAATAAAATATTAATTATGAAAATTACACATATATAAATACAAACTTCTACTTTTATTTATAGCGATTAATCATTCATACATTTTCTTTTCAGCTTAGTCCCTTTATTAATCAGGGGTCGCCACAGCGGAATGAACCGCCAACTTATCCAGCATATGTTTTACGCAGTAAATGCCCTTCCAGCAGCAACCTATCTCTGGGAAACACCCATATACACTCATTTACACTCATTCATTCACACTCATACACTATGGACAATTTAGCCCACCCAATTCCCCTATAGCGCATGTGTTTGGACTGTGGGGGAAACCGGAGCACTCGGAGGAAACCTACACCAACATGGCGAGAACATGCAAACTCCACACAGAAACACTGTGACTGACCCAGCCGAGGCTCGAACTAGCGACCTTCTTGCTGTGAGGCGACAGCACTACCTACTGCACCACCGCTTCGCCTCATTACTCATTTGACAGTACAATTTCTTTAAAAGCAGTAAATGATTGTAAGCAATATAAAAATAGATACTTTAAAATTAATTAAATGATAATATTTACTATTGAATAATAATTTAATAGATATATACATTATTTATTATGAAATAAATGTTCAAAAAAAGCTGACATATTCAGAAACCTGATCATCCACGCAGATACAGTCTCTGATGTCTCTCTCTCTCTTTCAGCATGTTGTTTACAGTGAGCCACGGGTTCTCACCATGGCAATGGATGCAGCACGTCACATGGCCAGAGATCTCAGCATCTGATTGGATCCTGTCAGAATGCACTGTTAAATCTGAAACAGACCTGAAAGAAGCAGATTCATGCTGTAAAACCCACACACACACACACACACACACACACACACACACACACACACACACACACACACACACACACATACAGGTTTACCGCAAACCTAGCATGACAGAGGTGTGGCTTTCTCAGTGTTTACTCTGGGCTCACACACACTTCACACACACTTGAGTCTGTACTTGAACACTCGCTGTTATAAAGGGAGATTTCAGCATCCACCTTCTGCCTCTGCCTGTAGTGTGTGTGTGTGTTAGCGAGCTCTGATGATGATTGTGAGATGATTTCTTCTCTGTCTGATCTGAATGAAAGCGCTGCTCTGCATTTCTGTCTCTCTGCCTGAATATTCTGTTGCTTTATGGATTTTTGTTGGCCGTAAAGTGTCGTTTCCTCTCCGCATTCCTATGGTAATATAATTCCTCCCTCCCGCATTCCTCTTTCCTCTCTGGAATAAATCAGCCTGCAGAAACCATCATATATTCACTCCGGCACGACAACAAAACACACCGCTGACACTTCACTTCTGTCTTATTAACACAACTAAAGGCCTTTATCATTGAAACTGATTATCCACTGCTCAGATTTAACCCCAGAGAGATGCAAACCTGATATGAACAACTGTTTACAGAACTGCAATATTCCTGCCACTCTCCAGAGGAAAGCATGTGAAGATGAGGGATGTGATTGGTCATCGCCTGCTAAGCCTATGACCACCAAACATGAACAAATACTATAGTCATTTAGAGTATGATAGTGTGTGTGTGTGTTTAAACCATACTGTAGTGTAATTAATTTGCTGTGGTGATTCTACAGTTGCTATGGTAACAAAACAACTATATTAACTTATCTGCTGTGGATATTCTTGAGTTGCTATGGTAACATAACAACTATAGTAATTAATCTGTTGTGGTGATTCTACAGTTGCTATGGTAACAAAACAACTATATTGATAGGTTGTGGCAATTCTATAGTTGCTATGGTAACACAATAACTATATTAACTTATCTGCTATGGATATTCTAGAGTTGCTATGGTAACACAACAACTATAGTAATTAATCTGCTGTGGTGATTCTATAGTTGCTATGGTAACACAACAACTATATTAACTTATCTGCTGTGGATATTCTTGAGTTGCTATGGTAACACAACAACTGTAGTAATTGATCTGTTGTGGAGACTCTAGAGTTGCTATGGTAACACAATGGCTAAGGTAATTAATTTGTTGTGGTGATTCTACAGTTGCTATGGTAACACAACAACTAGTAATTTATCTGTTTTGATGATTCTACACTTGATATGGTAACACAACTACAGTAACTGATCTGTTGTGGCAATTCTACAGTTGCTATGGTTACACAACAACAGTAGCTGATCTGTTGTGGTGATTCTACAGTTGCTATAACAACATTTAAGGTAATTAATCTGTTGTGGTGATTCTAGAGTTGCTATGGTAACGCAACATCTACAGTAATGAATCTGTTGTGGTGATTCTATAGTTTCTATGGTAATGCAACAACGATTAGCAAACAAATGAGCCAATACTGTAGATTTGTTCAACTATAGGGTATATTATACTACAATACACCACAGTAGAGCTGGAGGGTTAATTAGTAAAAGAAAGAAGCAGTTATAGGATAATATTTAAGTTCATTTTCATGCTGCACTGCTCAAATACGGGAATTGCTGTAATAATAGAGTAGTTTTTCTCAGGAATTGTACTTTACAAAATGTGTGCTTTTATTTGTGTTTATTTTAAGTAAATTTAGTATTTTATAATGTAAACTATTTCTGTAAATTTACTATATCTGTATGTTCACTGCACTACTTTCCTCTAACCTGCAGTCACTACTTTCTATGTATATTTTGTCTTGTCTACTGTAGTGAAGACTACCTTGCCGTTAGGGCTAGTTAAAGGGAGCGTAGCGAACCAGGGGTGTCGGTTAGAACACGACAGAGAGATGAGGTGAAGTTAAACAGGGTTTATTGCAAACTGCAAATTGTCCACAAAGGGGGGGGGGGAGCCAGCCTGTACAGCTATCAATCAGTAAGAATTAACAGGATGGGGAGTGAGCTCTAATCCAGCAGCAAACATTGATAGTATGGGCAGAGCAGCTTTAAAGCATCCACTGAAGTCCGTAGGGCTTAGTACATCAACATTTAGGCCAATGAGAAGATAACTTGGCGTGCGCTTGCTTGTATGAACTGAAACACTAGATCCTTGATCTGAGCACTTAGGGATGTTTGTAGGGTGTATAGGGGGTGTGGTTTCTCTGAAACACACAAAGTATAAAACTAAATTAAACTCTTACATCGATAAGTCACATTCACAATATAGGCTGCTCCCCATAAACAAGAACAAAGTGAACCATAAACATATTATATAACAGTAAACATTAAATGTCTTCACTCATAACTAGACATGAGAGCTTTAGCCTGCTATGCTAAGCACTGTAATGATTTAACACAAGCATCACGTTTGGAATGTTCTCTCATTCTATTTACATGCCATCCGGACTGCTACTCACTCTTATAGGACGCACACAACACCATAAACAATCTTCTGTCACGAAAGGGAGCTGCAGTGTCCGTCTGTGGCTCTTAACAGATGGAGGACTGCACGTGAGCAATGGCTGCGATGATCTAGCGATCGCTAGAGTGAAAGCACTTTCTTTTCCGGCCAGCGGCGATCTATACTTTCATAATAAAAGTCCTCCGGGCACCATCCGCAACAACATGCTTTCACTTTCTTTAATCGCCTTTTGCACAGCCGCCCCCAAATTGCTTGCAATTTGACCATGCAAAAGTGTACTGTTAATTAGGATTCATTCAAGCCATTTTCCTCAACGTTCTCAGCTGGGATTGCAGGTAGAAGAATAAGCCGGGCAACAGGCCGGGTGTAAACCCTGTCCTTAACTTGTACATCTACAGATCGTACACATCCATCCACACTTGGGTGAACTTTAATCACCCTGCCAATAGGCCAGAGTGCTCGAGGGTACTGTGGATCCATCAACATGACTACAGCTCCATTTGTCAGGTTGGCTTGAGTATCACGCCACTTCTGGCGGCACTGTAGTGTGGGCAGATAGCACCTGATAAATCTTGCCCAGAAGTGATCAGCCAACACTTGGCAGTGACGCCATCTCCGCCGGCTTAATCCTTCACTCTTTGGATACACAACTGGCGGCAGTGTGCCATCAAGCCGCCCCATTAGAAGGATACTTGGCGTCACAGCATCCAGGTCGGCAACATTTGAGGAAGTGTAACCCAATGGTTTAGAGTTTAGTATTGCTTCGACCTCCAATAGAACAGTGCGTAAGACTTCCTCAGATATGGGCTGAGCTCCAATGACAGTATTCAAGGCCATCTTAACAGACTTAATCTCCCTCTCCCATGTCCCCCCAAAGTGTGGAGCTGCAGGGGGGTTAAAACAGAAGGCGATTTTCTGCTTGGCGAGGAGTTGCTGAAGGTCAGGAGACATGCGACTAAACCATTCGCTCAGCTCCTTTTCACCTCCTCTGAAATTCGTGCCCTGGTCGGAATAAAGCTCAGCTGGACTGCCACGGCGCGCAATGAATCGCCTTAAGCTCATTAGGAACGAGTCCGAATCCATGGCATGCAGGAGATCCAAATGGACCGCTCTAGTTGTAAGACATTTATAAATAATGCCCCATCTCTTTTCAGAACGTCTTCCTATCCTCACTTGAAATGGACCAAAGCAATCAACGCCTGTTGAGTAAAATGCCGGTTGGTATAGGCGAAGGCGAGCTAAGGGAAGATCTGCCATCTTTGGAACTGAGGGTTTAGCTTTCCATCGCTGGCACCCTTGGCATTGGTGTTGCTCTCTCCTTATGGCTTCCCTTCCACGAAGGATCCAGAACGTGCGACGAATCTCCGCAAAGACTCTCTCTGGACCTGGATGACAGAGTCGTTCATCGTAATCCCGAATGAGGAGTTTTGTCATATGGTGTGACGGGTCTAAGAGAATAGGGTGCTTGAAGGCTGTGTCTAACCCTTCAGCTCGTCGGAGTCTCCCTCCTACTCGTATAAATCCCTCACTGGGATCGAGCTCTGGTGATAGAGATGCAAGACGGCTGCTGCGAGGCACAGCTTTACCTGCTTTAAGACAATGTAACTCTTCTGGAAAGCACTCTGCTTGGATCCTACTGAAGATAGACTTCTCCGCTCGACGATAGTCCTTCGCAGTTAAACAGGTATCTTGATTGGCCGCCCCATATGCCTCCTGTGCTACTGACTCCATCAGGTCATTCCAAGACTGGTAAGTTAAGGCCCCTTGAGCCTCCTGTCTGTTAGCTTTGGAGATTGTTCCACATAGAGTCACTTTCTTGTACTCAGAAATGTCCTGCTCAAGGAGTTCTCCAGGTTGTGATGGCCAGTCCGTAGAGGGTTTATGAAGAAAGAGCGGTCCTTGACTCCAACGATTTGGAACAGCAAGCTCTGCCAAGGCCTTTCCCCTGGTCACATCGTCAGCTGGGTTCTGGGCAGTGTCAACATAAAGCCAGGTACTCCCTGCGGTTAGCTCCTGAATTTCTGCAATACGCGTGCCCACAAAAACTTTAAACCGGCATGACTCCGAATGCAACCAGGTTAATACTGTCGTTGAGTCACTCCAGAGTATTGGTTTATCTGTCTTGATGGTTAGCTCTGTCTCGATCTTCTTCGCTAATTGAGCAGCAGTCAACGCTCCACAAAGTTCAAGGCGAGGGATTGAGTGTTGGCGACGAGGTGCCACTCTAGATCGTGCAGCGAGGAAGGCTACCTGTATTCGTCCTTGGACATCTTCAGTCCTAATGTATGCCACAGAGCCATACGCTTTAGTGGAGGCATCGCTGAATACATGTATCTGTCTTGAGACCACCATCGGTTCAGTGAGGCCTGGAGCATAAGGACGAGGTACAGCAATGTGAGGTAGCCAGTGAAGCTCAGATTCCCATGTCGTCCATGCCTTCTGCAAGTCAGGGGGGATACATGGGTCATCCCAGTCACGGGGTTTGTCCCACATGCTCTGAACAATGAGCTTTGCTCGAGTAGTGTAGGGCGCTATGAATCCCAAAGGATCGTATTGGCGGGCCAGCACTTTATAAATGTTCCTCATTGTCAGTGTCTTTTATTCCACAGGTCTGCTTCTATAACCGAGGGTATCTGATCCCCAGTGCCAACTGAGGCCCAGGGCTGGTTCCGGAAGACCAGGTTCGTCATGCGAAAGCCACCTCTCCATACTGTCGGACCTCACCTCAGCAGGTAAGTGTCGGAGAACATCAGGTACATTGGAGGCCCATTGTCTGAGCTCAAACCCTCCAGATGCCAGCACGTCTCTGAGCTGGTCAACTAACTCCTTGGCCTCCTCAGCTGTCGGCAGACTCTGGAGACAATTATCCACGTAGAAACAATGTTCCACTGAATGAAGGACTGCATTATTTACTCCACTGTGATCCCTTGCATGTCTATGGAGTGCGAACGTGGCACAGCAAGGTGAACATGCAGTACCAAAGGGGAGAACCTGCCACTGAAAGACTGCAGGTGGATCGGCACGTTTCATGTCTCTCCATATAAATCTGAGGAGCGGCTGATCTTCTGGTAAAAGTTCGACTTGGTGGAACATGCCTCTGATGTCGCTACTGATTGCCACGGCATGTTCCCTGAAACGTAGCAGAACTCCCAGAAGAGAGGCTCCAAGAGTTGGTCCTGGTAGGAGGGTGTCGTTAAGGCTACGGCCTTGGTATGGGAAAGAGCAATTGAAGACTATACGACTTTTCCCATTATGATGCACCACATGATGCGGGATGTAATATGACTCAGCAGAGTCTAATACTTCACTTGTAGTGAGTCTCCTAATGGCTCCTGCCTCCTCCAACTTACTAATGGCTGCACAGTACTCCTCGGCTTGTTGAGGGTCCCTGGCCAGACGTCTCTCTAGGGCCCTGAGGCTAGGTAAGACACTTTCTTTCTGAGCTCTGAGGGGGGGTACACCTTGTTTCCTCAGCAAAGGTGTAGCATATCTGAAGATGCCTGCGACTTGTACTCGCTTTGTTTTGACTTCCAGAAGTTCTAACGCCTCTTTATCCTCATTTGACCTCACAGCCAGCCTAGTGCTCTGATACGGCAAAGCGTCCATCTTCCAGAGCCTCTCTACATTCTGCATCAACTCCAGGGTTGGTGATGATATACTAGTGTGAAGACACTGCTGGGTAGTTGGAGCCCACTGGATGAGATGTGCCGGTCCTTGGAGTGTCCAGCCTAATCGAGTGCGAATGGCTGCCGGACCTCCTGGAGGGCCTAGTCTCACAGGTTCAACAGGAGAGATCAGCTGAGGGTAGTCTGCACCAATCAGCACAAGCGGCTTGACGAAGGCGAAGGACTCCAAGGGAAGGTCAGCTAGGTGCTTGTACCTCTTCTTGAGACTGGCCACGGGGTACGAGTGGTCTGCCAAGCCTAAGCGCTTGGAAGTAAAAGCATTCTTGATCTGGAATGTTTTCTTGGGCTTCGACGTGGATGATATTTTAAATGAGACTGAAGCTCCATTCAATGTCTGGACTTCCTGACGGATTGTACGAAGAGCGAGGGTTTCGGGTCTCTTATCCAAATTAAGTTGGTTGACTGCCTCTGGTAAGAGCATTGTCCTCTCTGATCCATCGTCCAAGATTGCATAAGTATCTAGTGTCTTGTCTCCATTTTGTAGGGTGACTCGGACAACCTTTAGCAGTACTCGAGCATGAGACGATGGTTTATCAAGATACAGGACATCCAGGCTGGTGTTCACTAGGCAGCTTTCAGCTTTGGACTCTTCAGGACGAGTATTAGCATCATGTAGTACTCTTAAGTGCCTCTTTTGGCAGATATCGCAGAGCCTCTTCAGGTCACATTGAGAGGCTTGATGGGCTCTTCCACATCTCCAGCACCGTTTGTGCGATTTAATCCACTCTACGACCTGTTCCCGTGTAAGCTTCTGAATGGCCTGACATTTATTGAGGAAGTGCTCTGTATTGTTACAGTAGGGGCAGTAAGGTTTGATATGGCTCTTCTGCTTGGAGGAGGATGGGCTCTGACTCTCTGACTGAGCTCTGTTTGAAGTACTACTCTCAGAACCATGAAGAACTGTAGCAACAGGCTTATTAAATCTTTTATCCGCTCTTAATCCAGTCACCCGTGAGGTGCGAGGTTCTGGAGTGGTGTCGTAACCTTGGCACCATGACTCATAGCGTAACCATTCAGCTAAGTCGAGCAGGGTAGGGGTATGTCTCGGATGATGGAACCTTGAACGACGAAAGTTAGCTCTCATTTCGATGGGAAGCTTGGTAAGTAAGCGTGCTACATGTGAGCCGCAGCTCAGCTCGACATCTCCATCTGGGCCCAAAGTCTGGAGCATTCCTACCAGTGACTGGACATGCAGCGAGAACCGTTCAAAGGCCAATAGATCTCCTCTCTTGATCTCCGGTGACTCCATCAAAGCAGCTATTCGCCGTAAGGCTATGTGGTGTGGCTGTCCAAACTTCTCTGTTAAAGCCATCATTGTATCGGTGTATGGCCGGGGTGAATTAATGAAGGAGTCAGCGATGAGACAGGCCTCCTCAAGCTTCACATGGTCTACAAGTATCTGATACTTAAAGAGTTCAGGAGCATCTGCTGGCAACAGATTAGTCAGAGCCAACTTGAATCGTGAAAACTCCATGGGGTCATTATGGATAAACTGAGGGATTTTCGGAGCAGGCCCCCGATACTCTCCTCCTGATTGACATGTGGATACCCATGATTGCTCTCGGCTCCTTGCATTCTGAGGCTGACTCATATAAGGTCTTACTCGTGGCTGAGGTAAAGGACCTCTACTGGTGCTATGCATACTGGGCGGGTGACCAAAGCTAGATATGTTGGGTCCTGACTGTTGCGTCTGGCACCAAGTGTTATGTTCCAAGCCTCTACTATGGTGAGGGGAGTTATGACTCTGATGTGTCGAATGTGGATGAGTTTGTGCTATGCGGTTTGGCGTCATTCTGTCTCTCATTAACTGTAACTCACTCATCATCCGATCAATAGCAGTAAACACACGGTGTTCTTCAACTGTTGGCTCTGGTAGGTAGTTAGAGGAAGGCCGGGGGGGAGGTGGCGTATCTACTTCTTCATTCTCTTCCTCAGGCATCAAATGGGCCTCTGCTACTGGCATAGAAGAAACTGGCCATGATTCAAATAGTGGATCGCACTGTTCAGCTACTGGTGCTTGGTTCAAAGCCGATAACATGGGTTCCCTTCTCTGGCCATATAGTGAAGTATAACTGCTCGCGTTGCTTCCTCTGATTAACTCACTTTGCTCAATGTCCACCTGAGTGCATGGTTTAGGGTTAAGTGGCCATCCACGGCTGATATCCTCATACTGATTTTCTGGATCTAACGCATACTCTGCTTGTGTCTCAGGGGGTCTGCGCCACTGAATGTGAGGCTGCTGGCTGTGCACTGACTCACTAGGGACAGGCAGGGACAAATTAAATTTTCTTGAAGTATGTGACTTGGGTCGCACAGCACTCACTTCATAATCTTGTAAATATGTTGGCTGTCTCACCTGACGTCTTGGCCGTGGGAGGGCCCACGATGCGTGCTCACTCTGCTGCATAATCCTAGCACAACTACGCTCCGGCTCGAAGGACCAATAAATGTAGTGAAGACTACCTTGCCGTTAGGGCTAGTTAAAGGGAGCGTAGCGAACCAGGGGTGTCGGTTAGAACACGACAGAGAGATGAGGTGAAGTTAAACAGGGTTTATTGCAAACTGCAAATTGTCCACAAAGGGGGGGGGGGAGCCAGCCTGTACAGCTATCAATCAGTAAGAATTAACAGGATGGGGAGTGAGCTCTAATCCAGCAGCAAACATTGATAGTATGGGCAGAGCAGCTTTAAAGCATCCACTGAAGTCCGTAGGGCTTAGTACATCAACATTTAGGCCAATGAGAAGATAACTTGGCGTGCGCTTGCTTGTATGAACTGAAACACTAGATCCTTGATCTGAGCACTTAGGGATGTTTGTAGGGTGTATAGGGGGTGTGGTTTCTCTGAAACACACAAAGTATAAAACTAAATTAAACTCTTACATCGATAAGTCACATTCACAATATAGGCTGCTCCCCATAAACAAGAACAAAGTGAACCATAAACATATTATATAACAGTAAACATTAAATGTCTTCACTCATAACTAGACATGAGAGCTTTAGCCTGCTATGCTAAGCACTGTAATGATTTAACACAAGCATCACGTTTGGAATGTTCTCTCATTCTATTTACATGCCATCCGGACTGCTACTCACTCTTATAGGACGCACACAACACCATAAACAATCTTCTGTCACGAAAGGGAGCTGCAGTGTCCGTCTGTGGCTCTTAACAGATGGAGGACTGCACGTGAGCAATGGCTGCGATGATCTAGCGATCGCTAGAGTGAAAGCACTTTCTTTTCCGGCCAGCGGCGATCTATACTTTCATAATAAAAGTCCTCCGGGCACCATCCGCAACAACATGCTTTCACTTTCTTTAATCGCCTTTTGCACATCTACTGTGATTGGCTAAGTAAGTCCTGAAATTCCTGTGCAATCAAATCAGCATATAAAATTACAATTGCATCAATCTCAAGGCAGACACTTGCAGCAAACATGTACAGTATGCGTAACGTTAAACGAGTTCAAATGATAATGAACATGAAGTGTCGACTATATGAGGACTGAAATCACCAAACCGCCTGAAACAGTCACTAAATGCTCTACAGAATGTTACGTTTTCGCACAAACTACATGTATTCTATCAGTGCTGCATGAGTTTGGTTTGTGGCTCCACCCGCTGGACACTCGTAGCTTGTTAGTCAGGGGTCAAAGGTCTAGTTTGACCTCTTAGGTTACACAGATTTCACTCCACATAGAAACCCATCAACCTGCTACGTGTTGGTCTGTTGTAGTTGCATATATTAGTGTAATTTTTTTTTTTTATCCTTTGTGGTTGTTTTAGAGTTGCTATGGTAACACAACTATAGTAATTAATCTGTTGTGAAAATTCTATAGTTGCTATGGTAACACAACTACTATAGTAAATAATCTGCTGTGGTAATTCTATTGTAGCTATGGTAACACGACTACTATAGTAAGTGATCTGTTGTGAAAATTCTATAGTTGCTATTGTAGCACAAGTACTATAGTATGTTATCTGTTGTGCTAATTCTATAGTTCACGAAATGCACCACAGAATGTTACGTTTTCACACAAACGACATGTATTATCAGTGCTGCAGGAGCTAGCTTTGTGGCGCCACCTGCTGGACACTCATAGCTTGTTAGTCGGGGAGTCAAATGTCATAACCTGAGCATTAGCATATTAGCACAGCTAGATTTACACACCTTAGCTTACACAGATTTCACTTCGCATAAAAATGAGTCTTTTTGTTGGCTTATTATAGGTGCATATATTAATGCAATCTTTTTTAATTCCATAGTTGCTATGATAACACAACTACTATAGTAATTAATCTGTTGTGGTAATTCTATAGTTGCTATGGTAACACAACTACTATAGTAATTAATCTGCTGTGGTAATTCTATAGTTGCTATGGTAACACAACTACTATAGTAATTAATCTGTTGTGGTAATTCTATAGTTGCTATGGTAACACAACTACTATAGTAATTAATCTGCTGTGGTAATTCTATAGTTGCTATGGTAACACAACTACTATAGTAATTAATCTGCTGTGGTAGTTCTATAGTTGCTATGGTAACACAACTACTATAGTAATTAATCTGTTGTGGTAATTCAATAGTTGCTATGGTAACACAACTACTATAGTAATTAATCTGTTGTGCTGATTTTATAGTTGCTATGGTAACACAACTACTATAGTAATTAATCTGCTGTGGTAATTCTATAGTTGCTATGGTAACACAACTACTATAGTAATTAATCTGTTGTGGTAATTCTATAGTTGCTATGGTAACACAACTACTATAGTAATTAATCTGCTGTGGTAATTCTATAGTTGCTATGGTAACACAACTACTATAGTAATTAATCTGCTGTGGTAATTCTATAGTTGCTATGGTAACATAACTACTATAGTAATTAATCTGTTGTGGTAATTCTATAGTTGCTATGGTAACACAACTACTATAGTAATTAATCTGCTGTGGTAATTCTATAGTTGCTATGGTAACACAACTACTATAGTAATTAATCTGCTGTGGTAATTCTATAGTTGCTATGGTAACACAACTACTATAGTAATTAATCTGTTGTGGTAATTCAATAGTTGCTATGGTAACACAACTACTATAGTAATTAATCTGTTGTGCTGATTTTATAGTTGCTATGGTAACACAACTACTATAGTAATTAATCTGCTGTGGTAATTTTATAGTTGCTATGGTAACACAACTACTATAGTAATTAATCTGCTGTGGTAATTCTATAGTTGCTATGGTAACGACTACTATAGTAAATAATCTGTTGTGGTAATTCTACAGTTGCTATGGTAACACAAGTACTATCCGCTTTTAATGTGATGTCACTCGAGTATTTTATGAAACTGAATGGGGAAACTCATCAAATGGTAATAATAAACGTTTACAAAGCGCTGTAATACTTTCGAAAATCATGATCGCAATATATATATATATATCCATGCCTAATATCTGATGTCCAGAAAGTGATTTATTTATTATAAATTGTTAAAATTTTGGTATTTGTGATGCAGCAAGTCCAGAGACCGACATGTACACTATGACTTTATATCAATTTCACTTTAATGTGTGATGGGACTAAAAAGTGTTCACAAACAAACATTTTCTCAATTCAAATGATTAGCGACTTGGACCCGGAAACAGTATACCAAACGTCACCGATACGTCACGACTTAACAAGCGGATAGTAATTAATCTGTTGTGGTAATTCTATAGTTGCTGCGATAACACAAGTACTATAGTATGCAGCCTTTGTGCAGATTTTATAGTAAAAGTAAATGCACTACAGAATGTTACGTTTTCACACAAACTGCTACAGCAGATTCTTTATCTGTAGGGCATTATTTGACAAGCAACAGTTCTTAGGTATGATTTTTCAGCACTGATCAAAGGTGTGTAATGAAGCAGCTCTTAACCTCAGCGCTCCAGTATATAAAGGTCATTCAGATGAATGCATGTTCTCCAGATCTGATAGCATCTAATTTCCCTCCGGATACATTAGGAATCGCACAACGGCACTGTTGTTGCAGTTGTTTTCTGCTCTCCAATGTTCTGCCAGCTCCGTCTTGAATCTCAGACTCAGAAAAGTCATGCCAACTCAACATCAGATCCACAGTTAATCCTCCTTGCGCGTCATGAATGGGTCATTGTACCCACAGGACACAATGCTGGCTCTGCAGCGCATGTGAGGTGGGGGTTGAAATCTGGGTCAGTCCTGAAAGCAGATAAATGAGGAACGAGGCCCAGCGGTGTCACTATATCCTCCCCCTCCAGCAGCCTTTGTTTATTTTGATTTTGTTCCCGGACGGTTCACCAGGGACGAAAGAGAGGCTTGTTTTGTTTTGGGGGTTTTTTCGTAAAGAAACCCAGAAACCAATGAGCAGAGCTGGGTGGTTTACATATGAATTGTAATCAGTTATAGTTTATAAATGACAGGGTGTAGTCACTTAGTCACAGTAGTCACTTTTTACTTTACATGTTTACAGTAATGTAATCGGACTACTTTTGGATTACATTTAGATTACTTTTCTGCTAACTCTTACTTGATGCCACATATGTTAAATTTGTTATATTAAATATGAAGATTAAATATATTTCATTCATTTCATACGTTTATGTTAATGTAATCTGCCTACTTTTAGATTACATTTAGATTACTTTTATGCTATCTCTTATGAATTGAATGTTACTGATTATAAGACAAAATGAGTAGTCAGATTACATATTAACGGTAATGTAATCTGATTACTTTTGGATTACATTTAGATTACATTTCTGCTATCCCTTATTCATTATAAATTACTAGTTATATGTAAACGTGTGATCAGATTACATATTCATTGTATTGTAATCTGACTACTTTTAGATTACATTTCTGCTATCTCTTACGAATTGGAACTTACTGATTATATGACAAAATGAGTAGTCAGATTAAATATTCATGGTAATGTAATCTGACTACATTTGGATTACATTCAGATTACTTTTCTGCTATCTCTTATGAATTGTATACTAGTTACCTAAAAATTGTGTAGTCAGAATTACATATTTATGGTAATGTAATCGGACTACTTTTGTATTACATTTAGATTACTTTACTAATTCTTATTTGATGCCACATTTATTAAATTAGAAAAAATATAAGAAGACTAAATATATTTATAAGTCATTTCATACGCTTATGTTTATGTTATCTGACTACTTTTAGATTACATTTAGATTACTTTTGTGCTCTCATGTAATCTGACTACTTTTAGATTATATTTAGATTACTTTTGTGCTATCTCATGTAATCTGACTACTTTTAGATTAAATTTAGATTACTTTTGTGCTATCTTTTGTAATCTGACTACTTTTAGATTACATTTAGATTACTTTTTGCGCTATCTCATGTAATCTGACTACTTTTAGATTACTTTTGTGCTATCTCATGTAATCTGACTACTTTTAGATTAAATTTAGATTACTTTTGTGCTATTTCATGTAATCTGACTACTTTTAGATTACATTTAGATTACTTTTTGTGCTATTTCATGTAATCTGACTACTTTTAGATTACATTTAGATTACTTTTGTGCTATCTCATGTAATCTGACTACTTTTAGATTACATTTAGATTACTTTTTGTGCTATTTCATGTAATCTGACTACTTTTAGATTACATTTAGATTACTTTTGTGCTATTTCATGTAATCTGACCACATTTAGATTACATTCAGTTTACATTTCTGCTATCTCTTATTAATCCTAAATTACTAGTTATGTGTAAAAATGTGTAATCAGATGACATATTTATGTTAATGTAATTGGACTACTTTTAGATTACATTTAGATTACTTTTGTGCTGTCTCTTGAATTATAACTTACTAGTTATATGCAAAAATGTGTAACACATTTATGGTAATGTAATTCGATTACTTTTGGATTACATTTGGAAGACATTTCTGCTGTCTTACGAATTGGAAGTGATTATATGACAAAATGAGTAGTCAGATTACATATTCATGGTAATGTAATCTGATTACTTTTGGATTACATTTAGATTACTTTTCTGCTATCTCTTATTTGACGTCACATATTGAATTAGAAAGACAATGAAAAAGACAATATATTTGATTCGTTTCATATATTCATGGTGATGTAATCTGACTACTTTTGGATTACATTCAGATTACTTTTTTTGCTTTATCTTGTGAATATGAAGTCACTGAATACAAACTGCATGAGAAAATGTTTTAAGTTTATTTTATAGAAATGTAACAAACTACTTTTGGATTACATTTAGATTACTTTTGTGCTATTTGATGTTACATAAAAGGCAATA